CTTTCTTTCTTTCTTTCTTTCTTTCTTTCTTTCTTTCTTTCTTTCTTTCTTTCTTTCTTTCTTTCTTTTATTTTTATTTTGCAAAGCCAGGAGTTTGAAAGCGAAGGCTGCTTTAACTTTGTATTTGTTAGGAGTTAAAACTCAGATGTAGAAAAGGAATTATGATAGATGCTATTGAGTGAATGCTTTCTTTGTCCTAGGCATCTGCTGTCTCCATTTTCATAACAACCTTTTAAGTTAAAATTTGATAGCCAGTACATTTGCATGGTATAAATGCAAATAATAGAAAAAGGTTTACAATGAAAATTGTCCCTCCTATTATAATACCACAATGGGTTCCATTTCACTGTAACTGATGTAAAACCCACTACTGTGTCCTTTCAGAAATAAACTATGTTGTAGCCAATAGACTCAGTCTCCAAATGGGCTCCCCAGTAAGGGGAACAGGGGCTGTCTCTGACATGAACTCAGTGGCAGGCTCTCTGATCATCCCCCCCTGGGGGTGCAGCCTCACTAGGCCACAGAGGAAGATGATGCAGCCACTCCTGATGAGACCTGATAGGCTAGAGTCAGATGGAAGGGGAGGAGAGCCTCCCCTATCAGTGGACTAAGGGAAGGACATAGGGGAGAAGAGGGAAGGAGGATGGGATTGGGGCCACAGTCAATAAATTGTAATTAATAATAATAATAATAATAATAATAATAATAATAATAGAAATTAAATAAGAAATAATCTATATACATAGTTATATTATTTTTCTTTTTTATACACAAATGGAAGCATGTAAGTATACTCTTTTTGCATCTTGCTTTTTCCTACTGTCTATAAGTTCAGTGTTTCTGGCTCTTTTTTACAGTTGCATAAATGATTTCTTTGCATGGCCATACAGCATTGGAATTGTTCCTGATAGTTTTAATGTCACAGTGAATAGTCTTATATACAGTTCTTTTTGCATGCAAGTAAGGACTTTTATGTATGATTAATTTCTGGTCAAATGACACAAACACTTGTATTTTTATAGGTTAAAAAAAAGCAGGATAGACATTATTGGCACCGATTACCTGGGGTTAAACTGTCACACTTTTCACAAGCTGTGCAAGGACTTCTCTTCTTTGCCTCAGTTGCCTTCTTTGCAAAACATAGAGAATAATAATATCTACCTAGGAGGATTATATGAGTAAGTTCAGTTTATTTTGCATATCAAGTCACCCCCAAAACTTAGTGGCTTCAAGTAATAACCATTCTGCTTAGCTCATGTCTGGGGGTTTGCTCAACTCCATGTCTCTCCTCATCGGGCTCGCCCAATGATCTTGTTGGATTTTGTCATGCTTCTGTAGTGAGTCTGTTGGTCAGCTGAAAGGTGGATAGTCTAGGATGGCCCTTTATGTCTGGTGATTGACAGATGAGTTGGTTGTTGGGAATCTCATCTGGGGGGCAGGTGACCTCTCAGCGTCAGGAGATGAGCTCAGACTTTTTCACAAGGTGCTGTTGAGGTGCTGTAGCCTGGCTTGTGGGGCTCCCATACTGGACAGCACAGCAGTTCTCAAACCTCTGCTTGTGCCCACTTGCTATCGAATGCAGCAAGTCACAAGGCTGCACTCAGAGTCAGTGACGGGAAATTTTCAAAGAGAAGGACAGTAAGAGAGTCTCATCAGCAATAGTTTTAATGTAATTTGTTTCATAAAATTGATTTTGATTTTATTCTTTCCCCTCCCCAACTTCTCTTAGATCCTTCCTACCTCCATACCCATCCAACTTCATGTTCTCTCCGTCTCCCCACATCTTTGAAACCAAGACAAAAACAAAACAAAAATCAAAACAAACAAACAAACAAGCAAAAATACCCAAACGAAACCAATGAAACAAAAATCCTACCAAAACAAAACACCCCAATGAGTCCATTCTGGGTTGGTCAACTACTCCTGGTCATCACTATTTTTATGAACAACCTGCCGCAGAGCTGGTAAGCGAATATCTGGTACAATACTTGTGCACTTTCAGTGCTCTGCGCAGGCTTTTTAATTAAGCGACAGTGCAGACTAAACCCACTCTGTAGAGGCTGCGCCAATTCACCGGCCGCCAGTGCCAGTGTGCGTCTCTGTTTCCTCTTAAGGGCTGCATCTAAGTCTTTTATCCATGTAGACACAGAAGTTCTCATTCCCATTCTATAGGTTACAAAATTCCGGGCTTGGGTGGTTTGTGCTCTGACAGTACAGAGCCAAGCAAGGAAGGCTTCGAATCTCGAGCTGTCTGATTCCATAGAGCGATGCGTTAGACAGCTTCCTCCTTTGTGTCCATCATTTCTGCTTCATATTGAGATCTGAGCGGGGGCTGTCAGACTTTTGAAGCCTTTAGCAGTGATTTTGATTTCTATCTGGCCTATTGAATTCAAAGCAAAGGGCCCACAAAGACAGTGGGTTCTTTCATGGCTGACAGGTACTGCTAAAGGGACACCTTCTCTTTCCATCTTTTAAATTGAGAAGCATGGAGCCTGACCTTGTTTTGTTTTCACTTTCTTCCTTTGTGTTTGCCACATCCTTTTGTTTCAGTTTCTCCTTCATAGGAATTCCATTTCCCCAAAAGGAGGGAAGAGAAGATGGGATATTTCTTAGTGGCTCAGACCTGGATCTTAGGCACTAACTGCCTGGGTTCAAATCCAGTGTGCTAGCTCTCACTGAAGTGTTAATTCGTGGCTAAGCGTTTT